AAATCTTAATTAAAATAAACTTTGAAGATGCTGGCTTTCTTGTTGAATATTCCTCAGTAGGGTCAGTGGATTTGTAGAGGTTCATCTAGGTTCTTTTGCTTGATTATCTTTATGAACAGCATCCCAAATGTGCACGATCCTTGACTTAGAGGTTGTGGGCTTAGAAAGGCTACCAGCTCATTGTGGCTAGAACACATGGTCTTAGATTAGTAGTGGGTGTATGATTACTGTGGATAAAAAACAGGCAGATATTCTGTTCCATATTTGAAGAACTGTATTCACTGTGTATTGTATTTGAACATAGTAACATGTGAGGTGGAGAATCACCAAGGAATAGATGGCAGAAAATGTATTTAGGGATTGTATTACATGCTGAAGGTCAGACCAACATATAAAAACTTGAGCTAGTACAGAAATGTATAACCAGCTAACTGCTGTCACTGCTGTAACAACCCCAAACTCTGTCTTGAGACAATAAAAATTTATTTCTCCCTCACTTTTAGTCTGAAGTGGATGAGGGGTACAGGGCCTGTACTTTGTAGAGCCATTTGGTAAGCTGACTTTCTTCCATCTTGAAGCCTCATTTGCATTTGTGTTTAGCTGATGGACAGCAGAGGAGAGATAGATTGTACCCCAAGCCTGGGTGTAACACAGTCACTCACATCTCACTGTCAAGAACTAGTCATTTGCTTCCAACTCCAGAAGCTAGGGTACAGGAAGAAGAGAACCCAGGTGTTGGTGAGGAAATGTAGGTACATTATGTGTGGGACTGGAAGGTATTTGTTTTGTTTTTGTTTTTTTCTTTTAAAATTAATTTTATTGGTACAGTTTTGACATGCATAATGGTCACATTCATCATAGGAAATTTGTACCTGTACATAATATATCTTGATTCTTCTTTTTTTCCCCATTCCCCTCCTGTCCTTTCAACTCTTCTTCCCCTCTCCACTTACAAAACTTTTTTGCTATTGTTTTACTTCCATTCTTTATTTTTTATCCCTATTCCCTTCTTGCCCTTTCTCCTCCCCCCTCCCTTGTTCCCCTTCCCATTGAACATTTTCTTCCTACTTCCCAATATCTATCATCCATTTGGTCCTTACTTACACTTCCAGTTTCTCACTCTGAGAAAACTTTCTGCCTCTTTTATCCCATCCAGACCACTGGGATTAGAACAGTGCTAAACTAATCACTCACATGTAGTGATTTAGTAATCACATGCCCTTAACCTCAGCATCACACATTTCAGATTCAACTACCTCTGAAAAACAAAGTCCCATCTCATCTGCATGAGGCTTTGGAGGGACATCTAAACACCAACCACAACATTCCTCCCCTGGCTCCCCAAAGACTCATGCATATCCCTTTATGCAAAAAAGCATTTAGTCCATTTCTAAGAGTTGCCAAAGTCCTAATAATTTCAGGATTGCTGAAAAGTTCAAGTCCGAAGTCTCCTCTGAGATTTAAGGCAGTCTTAACTGCAAGCTCCTGTACAAATGAAAAGAAAGTCAAACATTTCCAACATTCAATGCCACAAGATAGACATTACCATTCCAAAAGGTGCAAACAGGAGGCTACAAAGGAATAGGACCAAAGTAAGTCCAAAATCCAGCAGGCCAAACATTACATTCCACAATTCCACTTCCAGCATCCAAGGCAATCTATGGCAAGTTGTGAACTCCAAAGGGCTTGGGTGGCTCTGCCCCTATGGCTCTTCTGGTGGGTGTAGCTCCCATGGCTTCTCTCTGGGGCTGGCTCAGTTCCCTCTTTGCAGTTTTCCTCAGACAGTCTACACTTCTGGCTTTTCCATACTTCTGGGGTCTCCACTGTACCTTTTGCTTCACACTCACAGCTTCACACACTGCCCTCACGGGCACACTGCTTGGCCTCCCAGGCCTTCTTCTGAAATCTGGGTGGAAGCCGCTCACAACTCTTGCATTCCGCATGCACCTAAAACCAGTGCTAAGTTCTGTTGCCAGCTGGAGCAGTAGTAGCCAGTCTTCCCTCTCTCTTGGCTGTAGGGGTCAAGTGCTTGGATTGCTGAGCACTCTGAATCCAATTCTGATGAACAACCTCCCTAAGCCACCATTTTGAAACAACTTCCCTAGGCTGCTGCCATTCTGGAACATGGTGCTCTGGGGCTTCCTTCTCAAAGCAAAGTTCTTCATTTGCAATTTTGAGGCTGCAAAGGGTGGAGTCCTGCTGCTTCCTGTGATGTCCTCTGGCCATCTTTTCTAGTCTCCTGTTCCTTCTGAGCACTCAAGATCTGCTCTGTTCTGTCTTTGCAGTCCACAGCTTTACTGGAGCTTCCTTTCTGGCCAAACTGGAAATATTTTAAATCATTCTTCTGGGCTTTTTGCTCTTGATTCTAACATAGATCTGGCTAAAAGCCCCCAACAGTAGCCATCCCATTGCCTCAGTATTTGACTGCCTTGAAATTTCTTCTGCAAGATTAATTAGTTCACCACCCATAATCTCAGTCTCAGGCAAAGTTATCTGGACATGAACAAAATGCAAATAAACACTCTGCTAAGCCATAACACACATCATCTGGAGTCCAACAGCCAGTGCAGTCCTTTTTACCAGCAGAAATCTCCTGAGCCTGGTCTTTACCCGCTTTCTGGTCTTCTGAGCTCTGGCCAGAATCTCCCATACAAAACAGCCTAAAGGCATATCAGCACTGCTTCTGTAGCCAGTGTCTCCATATCTTCTCTAACTCTTCCCCTTCCCACAAGTCCATTCCAAAGGCTTTTGAGCCACATGGCTAGATAATGTCACAGCAATGACCCCACTACTCTGGTACCAAATTTCTGTGTAAGTTACCTTTTTTTATTGCTGAGACAAAATACCTAACACCCAAAGTTAGAGGGGAGGGAGTTTATTTGGCTTACAGTTCATAGAGGTTTCTGTCCATAATCAGCTGGCTCCGAAACAGGGATGACAAACAGGCATGGCAGAGCAGAAACAACATGGCATGCACAAGGCAGCAAAGGTAACAAGGGCAGGAAGGTATTTGTAATGAATCATTCCTTTATTCCTTCAGTTCAGAAGCCCTATAGGCACCTTTCTGAGCTCTTTATTTTAGTTGTTTTTGTATGTTTCAGTAAAGGTTTTTGGAATTTAGAATTCTCACAGTGTCTATAGGTCTGTGGTACACCAGAATAACTTAGCTTTTGTTCTTGTCCCGGGATTATTCAAACCTCAGACTGTGGAGGGGAAGTCTGACTATTAGTATTACCACTGTTTGACTTTTTAAAATTATTATTGTCATCATCATCATTTTGAGGCTTTCTTGAGACTGGATCTTGCTGTGTAGTTCAGGCTGGACTTGAACTCACTGTGTAGCCCAGGCTGGCCTCAAATTCACAGTGTCCTCTGACCTCAGCCTCTTTACTATTAGATTACAGGTGTGCACTACCACACTTGGCTGTTGACTCTTTAGAGGAAGAACTCCAGCATCTCTTTAGGGATATCTGGTAGCTGGAACATCTGGATAACCCATAAAAGACATCCAGGAGTTTTGACACTCGGCAAAGCTGCTGAGTCCTAGAGTCCTAATGTGAGTTTATTGTCAGTCCATGTCCCTAGTGTAGTAAACTTTGCTCCAAGAGCTGATGCTTCACAGTTATGAGTGCTAACAAGATGATTTAGTGAGGCCATAGTAAATAACACATTTTAGCTTATATATGTGTAGAGTGATTTACAAAAGTAGATTACTTTTAAGATTCAATACAATATATATGCCTGTGTCTTTACCTTAAATATTGAAATATAAATTGTGTCTTGCTGTCTTGTCTAGGCTGACCCCAGCTCCTGGGTTCAAGTGATCCTCCTACCTCAGCTTCCCAAGTAGCTGGAACTACAGGTGTGCCACCACACCTGATTTTGCAATGTAATTTAAAAATACACCTGGTTTTGACCCGAGAGTGGTGGCACATGCCTGTAATCCCAGTACTTGGGAGGCTGAGGCAGGAAGATCACCACGAGTTCAAGGCCAGCTTAGGCTACAGAGTGAGTTCAAGGCCGGTCTGGACTATATAGCAAAACTTTGTCTCAAAAAACCAAAAATAAATAAATAAAACTTGGTGTTTAGAGCAGTTTTAGATTTACAGAAAAATTGTGATGATCATACATAATTCCCATATATACCCCCTCCATACAGCTTCCCCTATTGTTAACATCTTGTAGTAGCTTGGGACATTTGTTAAAGTCAGTGAATGAATATTGATACATGACTGTGAACTGAAGTCTGCACCCTAGCTTTTACCTAATGCCCTTTTTCCTCTTAGAATATATTCCAGTATGTTCCGTCCCATTCAGTTGTCATATTTTCCTAGGCTGCTCTTGGCTCTGACAGTTTCTCAGACTTCTGTTGTCCTTGACAATTTTCAGGAGTACTATTGGGTACATAACTGGTTGCTACTCTTGGAATTTGATCTTTTACTTACTAGACTGGAGTTTGGAATTATATGTTAAGACTATGTTTAACCTTACAAGAAATTGCTGAACTGTCTTCCAGAGTGGCTGTGCCATTTTGCATTCCTACCATCAAGGAATGAGAGTTCCTATCATTTCACATCCTTGTTAGCATTTGATAGAATTGGTTTTTTGGTACAGTGGCTGAGGTACAGTATTTAAAGTTGGTCATTTAGTCTTGCTATCGTACTTTATTATATCTTACTGTAGAAACACTAGCTTTCACTTGCTATTTCTCTTGAAAGTACCCTTAAGAAGAGGATTTGTGTGCTTTTCCCCATATAAATAACACATGTTTAAATGGCATTTCACTTACTACATTAAAATTACCTGTTCTCCTTGCTTTCTTGTTACTAATAGCACAGAAGCTACATTCCATTGGTTTTAAGCTACAGTCTTGGTGTTATTGTTCCATGTTTAATTGCTTTTGTTGACTTTTTATTCCCATTTTTCATTCTTCAAAGTCATTTTTGCTTTTTTGTTTTTTCTTTGTTCATAAAGTTTTTTATTTCTGTTACATTATGTAGTTTTGTACCAATGGCTAGAAGCAGATCGTCATGGCAAGAGCCAAGATGCTGCCAATACGACTTCAGGTAAAAATAAGCTAAAAAAAAAAAAGATGGGGTGTTAGAAATTATGATGTTAATTCACCCCAAGCCTGTTATAAATGCTTTCTTATTTGGTTTTGCTTGGACAAACATAGGAATTAGTTTGTATTCTTTTCTGTCATCTGTATCTTACTTTTCAATAAAGACTCATTTGCTTCAGGCCTTGAAAAGAATGTACTCACTATCCTTTAAGCTCTCTTGGCATATATTTCCTCCTTTGTTAGGAGAAAGGCTTAATTTCAATTTCAATTTAGTAATTACTTGCAAATATTTGGAATTAACTTTGAATATAATTATGGTGAGGACATTAATATTTGAGTTTTGGGGCTTGGGGTTGGGGTGGGAGAGGAGTGCTGAGATTTGAACCCAGGGCCTCAGAAGGTTATTTGTACCAATTCATAATTTTTTAGGATAATATTTAAAAGGTAAATTTTAACTTAAGTAAAAGGACGTTTATGTACAATTTCTGTTTCCTGGGAATCTAAATTTTCAGACCTAGTCATTTTACCTGTTTAGACCTAGCAGTAAATTCTAAGAGATTTTTAAAACATGCATTCAAAATGTGAAGTGTAGGTTGTTCTCCCAGTTCCAGTGCCCAAAAGCCAGCTCCAAGATTCTCTTCTTTGGCTGATCTTAGTAGAAAAGCTGCATCTACCCATTTTTAAATCCTTAACAGTGATACCAAAACTTCTGCATAGTTGATTCTTTCCTTTATTTCTTCCAAAATAATATTTGCCAAGACAGCTATCTATATAACAACCATCTTTCCTACTGCTCCCTTTTTTAACAGTGTAAGAGGTGGTGGTAATGGTGGTGGTGGTGGTGGTTTTTTCTTTTGTTAGATTTTGTGTTAGTGTCCTGTGGGTTTTATGTCTTTGTGAAATTCTGTCTCTGGAAGTGATTCCTTCTCTCTCCCTTTGATTCATTATGCCTCAAGAAGGTACAGCATTCCTTAGGCAACAGAACAGTCATTGAGTATGGCTCTCTCTCTTGACTTCTTTGATTCACTGCCTGCCCTATTAATAACTGATATGCAAATGAAGACAATGTTACTATTTTAATCATACACAGGCAGGAATTCATGAACAGGTAAGTGGTACAGGGAGACCTACCCTGGGTTATGTGCTGTTTCCTTTGCTCCTGCAGTTTTCCTGCTTCGCTTCAGTTGTGGATGTAAAAACAAGCATTTGGTCTTGGATGGAGGACAGAGGAGAAGAGGGTGTCAAATGTCTCTCAGTTATCTCAAGATATGCTTGTTGCCAAATCATCATAGTCAGCAGCATACACTTTTAGGACCAAGAGGGAAATTTTATTATGTTTTGTTTTTTCTTCAAGTTAAAGTGAAATGAAATATAACTTTCTTTTTAATAAGAAGCAGATAATTTAAAAATTCTTAATGTTCACATGAAAATCTAGTAATAGCTTGAGACTATCATGTACCTGAAATAACAGTTTTGAACCCTGACTGTTCTTCAGCCACATTGACTCATGGACAATTTCACATTTTTCCGTTGACCTTCACACACACACACCCATCCCCAACCTCCCCAGCACTGAGGATTGAACCCATGGCCTTTAAACTGAGCTACCTTTTCAGCCCTTTTTGTTTTTTATTTTTAGACAGGGTCTCTCACTAAGTTGTCCAGTCTGTGCTCAAACTTGCAATCCTTTTGCCTCAGCCTCCTGGAGTGCTGAGATTATAGACATGCCCCACCATGCCCTTGACCTTTTCATGTCTATGTCACTTCACTTAGGAGTATGGTGCAGAAACTAATGAACTCTCTTTAAGGATGCTTTTAACAGTTTCTCTTCTGGGAACAAAAGCTTTCCACTCTTAGCAGAGGGAGGTCTGGACTAGAAAGATAGAGAAGTGGTGTTTGCCTAAGCAAGTATGGCATCCCAGGGAGAATGATTTTAGTCAAGGGCTTTAGTTAGAAACAACAGTTTACTTGCCTTGGCAAATATATTTAAATTATGTGTTCTCATTCAGAAAAGCTCCCACATGCTTCCCCAGCAAGGTTTTAGAGTGTGACTTTTCCCTCCTTCTGTGACTTGTTAGGTTTTGCACTCAAAGGTGTTTTAGTGTGTCTTTTCATATTTTTACCCAAAGTGGAAATTGATTCTTAACAAGATATCAAAGAATGACTCATAAGTCATACTGCTTTATGATGTTTTTAGTTGTGCACATATTGGTAAATAACATTGTGCTATCATAACTCATGTTTTGCACTTAATTAGAACTTACAAAGTAGAATTCATAGATGACAGAATGAAGTTATTCCAAAGTGTTCTTATTTGTTGATCCCAACTTTTTGACATTGGTAATTTAATATCTATCCACATTAAAATATTTTATTAAGACATGCAAGAATAACAGGTATTATGGTAATTAATTTGGTCAAAGAATTAAAGAACTGATTTAACAATTGTTCTTGAATTTTCTCATATGAAATAGTTTACTTCTTTATCTTTCCAGAATTTTGTCAGATAAATTTGCCTTAGTAGATTAGCTCATTTTTTATAAATGGTTAATGTGGTTAGTGTATTCTGTCCACTAAACTAGACAACTCAGTAATGATGTTTCTAGTTTTGTAATTTGGTTCCTAAAGAACCTGGATATAAAATCACAAGTATCAGAGATTTTTATGTAAACTCAAAATTGCCTGCCCTGTGCCCTGCAGCACTGAGTCTGTATATAAAACTTAAGAATGGTAAAAAGTAGATTAGCTTATATCAAGATATTTCTTTCTTTTTTTTTTTTTTGGTACTGGGGATCGAACTCAGGACCTTGTGCTTGTGAGACAGGCACCAGAACCACTGAGCTAAACCCCTGGCCAAGATATTTCTTTAGTGAGTTAACTATTTCCATATAAAAGTATCAGCCTGTATTGAAATGAGTATAATAATTATGTTACAGCAATGATTATATTAGTGTGTCTTGATTTATTTTAGTATCAGTAATATAGCTAGTGTTTTAAAATTCAGATTCTGAAATTTTAAGTGCCAGTCTCTTATTCAGAATTTTCAGTTGTCTATTGGGGATTTTACAACTCACAGTATTAGAAGTAGAACTGCAGTCAAACCTCAATATTATCAGTAAATATATAGACAAAAGAAAATAGAAAACTATGACACACTTTTGAAAACGCTGTAGATGTTAACTAATTAATTATTTGTTGTAGGTGAAAATTTTGACCAGAGTCCTTTGAGAAGAGCATTCAGATCCAAAGTTCTGGCTCACTACCCTCAGAACATAGAGTGGAACCCTTTTGATCAAGATGCAGTGAACATGGTTTGTATTTTTCTTTTCCTCTATAGTCTTATCTTTAACTTTTCTTTTATTTTGTTAAGATGACAATAGTGGCTATATTTTGAATGTCTGCATTATTTTATTTAATTGAATCCTTTCAATAATTATGTAAGAAACATAATACTGCCCACATTTTGCAGATATGTAAACTGAAGCTCAAAGTTACTTTCCCAGGGTTCCCACAGCCAATAAATGTTTACAAGATACCATCAAAACCCATTTTATTTCCTACTATTAAGGTAGTTTGGGGGTTTGTATTAATTAATATATAGATGCTTTGATAAGCAGTAATACTACTACATCTGATGGAAGGGGCCTGGTTAGTTTTCATATTTTAAGAAATATTGCATGATGGCCCTGTAATTCATCATTTTCAAAGACAGTATGAGGCTAGAATGGAACCTAGATGTATAGTTTAGACATTAGTAGGTATTTGTAAGGAATCTGAACCAATATAATGAGTGGTGATTAAGTCTCCTTTAGAGATTCTTAGAAATAAAGTAGGTCATAGTTCTCCTATCACTTTAGGAAGAATCCTGCGTAGAAGCCTAGATAATATTTTGGATTGCCATCAACTCTGTGATTACATAATTCAGGAGGCCCCAAAGTAAGTAAATCAGGTATCAGGCTTCACGCACACAGGAATGGTTAGTGGTGGGCTGAGGCCCTGTGATACAATTCTTTTTGAGAATTTTAATGGTAAAACCAAAAAATATAAAAGATCCCACTATAACCTGATACTCTAAGGAAAGGAAATTAATATTTATTAGATGCCTGCTAGGGACTTCAGGTATGTTATTTTTATATATGTGTTTACATGTCCCAGTGTGAACTCTTGTTCATATTTTACAACTTTCAGTAATTTATGCAGCTGGGTGTGATGGCACCTGCCTGTAATTCCAGCACTTTTGAGAGGTTGAAGCAAGAGTATCGGCTAATTCAATTTGGCAATCTAGGGATACCCTGTCTAAAGGGGAGAGGGCACACCCAGAGATCTAGGTCAGCGAAGGCCCTGGGTTCAACTCCCAGTACTACAAAGCAAAACAAAATACCCACAATAGTAATAATAATATTAATTTATCCAAAATCATACAGTGAAAATCTGAGGCTAAATCCAGATCATTTTTATCCTCTAGCTCACTTTTTTCCTCACTTGCTCTGTCGCCTCATGTATTTTAGTGCAGAAATGATATGGGCCAGGCTTACTGGCATTTTGCATCATAGTAAAGCCTTTGCATTCTTGGCCTTCAACAGGGAGGGGAGAGTGATAGCATGGTTCTTTTTGTAACATTGAATGCCTGAAGCATTTGGCACTTTGACTTAGATTCTTTACAGAGCACAATGTAGTTATTTTCCCAGACTGTTACCTAATACCAGAATAACCAGAGATGCCAGGGATCAAACTCAGGTCCTTGCACTTGGGAGGCAGGCGGCGGAACCACTGAGCTAAATCCCCGGCCCAGAGATGCTTTTTTGTTGGAAGTTAATGCTATGGATGTCTGGCTTCGTCTTTGGTGAAGATAGTACTATTTTGATGCGGGGTAGAACACAACTGGTAGTTATCTTTATGCAATTTAGAGGAGCCTAAACAAGCTTCTGACTAAAATAGTCAACAGACAGCAGTGACAAAAAATAATTCAACAGCTGCTTATGTCAGCAAGTTAATAAAAAGGTTTTAAGGAAAAGTGTCTAACAGAAGCAGTGGGAAAATGGGTAAAAATTAAATAGATTATAATTCTCTCCTTAAATTAGTTAAATATTTCAAAGTATAAATTGTTCTGTGAGGAAATCAAAGCAGTGTCCAAAACCAGGTTCCTAGAATATGACTCTAATAGTTCAGAACAAAATGCCACACTTGGTGTGCTCTCTTTCCTTTAATCATTTGAATGAATTAATAGTGAGATACCCGTGGTAGCTTTTGCCTCTATTTGCAAAGCATTCATCATTAAAGCAATTATCAGATGGCTTGATCTGTCTGTGATACTTTCTTTAACGCTTGCTTCTGAGGTTATTTTATGTAAGCAACAAAAATTTCCCTCTGAAGAACAAATACAAGCACCACGTAGCAGTTTGGTTTTTGCTGCAAATTTAAAGGGATTTGCTAGCAGTACTTGAAAATCTGTGAAAAACATTCTTTTAAACCAGTTTGCTTTGGGGCCATAGATTTACTGCCCTTAATTTCTTCTGTGATTTATTAGTAAGTGCATTTGTTTGAAGCCATAATTTATTCTCACCTCTCGGTGTACAGCTTTGTCTTGCCTTTAGCAAAATCCCACTCCAAGCCTTCTGTAGTGTTAGTCATTTTGCTAAGAAGCCACATTGATGCTTTGATTAAAGGCCATTAGTTTCACACATAAATTAAGTACCAGGAGCAGTGAACTTGGTTAAGTAAAAAAAAATCCCATGTGTACAAGTGCCGTGCAAATATGGAAAATATGTGACAGGTAAAATTAATTTTGAATTATTTTTGTTTTGTTGCTGACTCAGATTTTATGAAAAAAAACAAGGTATCATAAAACAGAACAATACAACGAACAGTTACATACCCGACACCCAGAACTAACATACATCAACATTAACATGTATCTTTTGTCTTAGGGGTTTTTTGTTTGATTTATTTGCAGTACTGGCAGTTTTTGGAGGGGGGGGGTACCAGAGATGCAGCGCCACTCTGCCACTGAGCTACATCCCCAGTCCTCTTTATTTTGTTTTGAAACATTGCCTCACTAAATTACCCAGACTGGGCTCAAACTTTGAATCTTCCTGCCTTCTGAGTGGCTGGGATTTCAGGCATGTGCCACCATATCTGGCATGTATCTTTCATGTTAAATGAAACAAAGCACTGCAAAACAGAGCTGAAGTTCTTCCACTCTTCCCCTAGCTCCACTTTTGTGTCTCTTTGAGGTAACCTGCGTGTTAGCATCTGTGACTGTGTACAGTAATATTCTAGTAGGTTGATCTTATCCTTAAGAATGTGTGGCACCTAGGAATTCTCAGGAAGGAGGAAAACATGGTCAATACTGTACTTTCTTACTTTCCTAGTTGCTGAGACACAGTACCCACACCTGCAATTTAGAGAAGAGCTTTGTTTTAGCTCTCATTTTCAGTTCCTAGTTGGCCAGCTCTGAGTCAGAAAGATACATAGTGGAAGTGTCTGGCAGAGGAAAGCTGCTCACATCATGGCAGCCAGGAAGCAGAGAGTAAAGGGAGGAGTCAGGGAGGAGGGAAACTCTGCCAGGCCTCACCTCTGCTGTCCTCATCTTCTCACCACAAGTCAGCTGTGAGCTCCCATGATCCATCACATAAGAGGCACAAGGCACTTGGGGGACATCTAGATATAAATCATAGCAATACCTTTTTAAACAAATTAGATGAAATATGAGCACTCTACCTTATATATTTGTCCAAAATTAAATGTGTATAAATGGTATGTCTGGTGGTTTAAAATATAACTATTTTAAAGCTCTTTGTAATCTGTGGAGCTGTAAGTTTATAATTTACTGTTTGATGATAAAGGGTGGAGTGGAATGATAGGCAGAGTAAAGGGTGAATGATTGGCAGAAGAAACCTATTCAGATGACCATTGGCAAGATTAAAAGGAAAAGGGGTCCAGTGCAGGGGCATACACCTGTAATGCCAGTACTCAGGAGGATCACCACGAGTTTGAGGTCAGCCTGGGCTACGTAGTGAGTTCAAAGCCAGCCTGGACTACATAGCACAACCTGTCTCAAAAAAAAAAAACAAGGGGAAAATGGCCATATGACTTTTACATGCACAGCAAGTGCTTGAATTTGAAACAGATGACAACATTGCACTTGTAGGTTTGACATTGTAATGAAAACTCTCATTTAGACCCAAGTTTAAGTTCATGTCTTAAAATAGCATCATAGGTGTGCAGTTCTGTCAGCCATTGCTGGAGCAGGCCATCCATTTTCTTAACATTGCCCTGGCATACTTCACTGGCATCTCAGACTCATGGCCCAAACCAAATTCACAGTCCTTCCTGTTAATCGTGGGCAGCGAATGGCATAATCATCTGCCTGTTTACGTAAGCCAGAAATTTTCAGGTCATCCTTGAGAAGTCTCACTTTCTCACTTATATGCAATCAGTCTACTTTCTGTTTCCATACACACCCTCAGCCTCAGACCACCCAAATCTCATCCCTCATCTCGTACAGGGATTTGATGAACTGTTAAGAGGGTGGTACAAGGGGAAGGATCTCTTAGCATATTGTACCTTTTTGTAGAACCTGTACTGTTACAAGTAATTATATAACTAAGACCTACCTTGTTATGGCTTGTGTCTAGATGTCCCCCCAAAGCCTCATGCCATTATAGGAGGGGCTTTTTCAGAGGTGGCTGGATCTGGGGTGTGTCATGTTAGGATTAAGGGTGTGTGATTACTAAATTAGTCCACTTGTTGGTTTGGCACCTTCCCTAAGCCCAGTAGCCTAGATAGAATATAAAAGGGGCAGAAAGAAGCTGCTACGGTCACTTTTTGCTATCTTCTGCCTGCCACAAACTGTTGCTCCTCTTTGGTGCCCCTCTGCCATGCTGCCATGCCCCCGTGCTGTGGAGCCAGCCAACTATGAACTGAAACCTCTACAAACTGTGAGCCAAAGTAAACCTTTCCTCCTTTTGAGCGTCAGGTATTTTGTCTCAGCAAGGAGAAAAGTAACTAGGACATACTTCTGTATCTGATCTTGTAGTGTAAGCATCATGAAGACAGGAACAGTTTCTGTTATTCCTTGCTTGATCCCTAGACTTGCACATGGTAGGCACTCACATTATTGAGTAAACAAAGGAATACTTATTTGCTTATAACACTTTTCTTCCCTGTCCTTGTCTATTTGGGTACCACCTCCCCTGCAAAATCATCTTTTAGGCAGAAGGAGTTCTCTCTGTTCTTTGTGAAACATCTTAAGCATCCTCCACAGAAGCACCCATCACTTTATTTTGTAACTGTTGGTTTATATGTTGAT